GATAAAGTCTCTTTGTGGGGTGCTGATTAATTCTGTGGAGAGGCTTTGAGGAATCGGCCTGGATTTTAATAGAAGCACTAAGGATTCTGCCAATATCAGTTGATGATTTTGCCCATAAAGCATAATGGTAATTGGTCAAATAGGGGCGAACGGTTAGAACCTTTGGCATCAGCCCTGGTGTTGTCAGAGACAGCCGCACATAAAGGATGTGGAAGAGGATTCATTTGATCCATTGAACTGGCTATTTTGGCATCACTGTCAAATTCTGAATTTATTTCTCCCCCTTTGGGAGGAAGAAACTCCTACATGATATTTTTCCAAGAAGCCTCAGCCCAAAAGATGGACTAATTTACAAAGTAGTGTTAAATACTGTGATATAACGACGTCATGAACCTGGCTGTGTCTGGAACATTCCAGGAGGTACTTACCCGGCATGTGCAATGCTGGAGGGACCTACCGAATGCAGACCTGTCATTTAGAATAGGACAGGTTTTCCTAAAAACTGACAAAAAACAGTAGGCGTATTTCCCTGAGTAAGATGGTGCCACTCAAGCTGTGAGAGGAGTGAGGCCCTGAATTGCACAGCATCATTTAGCAAAAGCAAAGAGCAGTGCAGAGTCCTACACGTTGTTCTGCAGCAGGAACAGGCGAGGACACCCCCCTGCATCTGGGAGAAGAGGCCTGGGAACGTCACCTTGTCACCACATTTTGCTACTGGTGACCTGGCTAAGAATGAGGGTCTCTGCTGACGGGAGCTCCTGTAGCCTCCCCTGCCCCATGCCCACTGGGCGGAGTGGTCCTGCCCCACCGTGGCCCTCCTGGTGCATCTCAGTGACCCGTCCAGACAGCCTTGGGGATGCAGGCTTGGTGGTGTCAGCTGAACAGCAGGAGCTGAGTGTGGAGACAGCCCAGCAGGGTTTATTCAGATGGAAAGTGTGCAGGTGCCTGGGAGCCAGGCTCTCTGCCAGAGGATGTGAGGGAGGCCGGAGAGGGGGCAGTGGTGGGGATCGTGGGGTTTGGAGACCCACTGCCTGTGCTGGAAGTGGCTCCACTAGAATACACACCCCTGGGGCGGGGAGAGGTAGGGTGCACTTCGCATGGCGCTGTAAGGATTAGATGAGGTTGTCCACGTAGAGCTTAGCCCAGGCTCGTGTGGTACGAACTGGCTCGTCATCCGTTTCTGTCCAGGGGAGCTCCAGGTAGGGGGAAGGAAGGACGTCCTGAAAGGAGCTATGTATCTGGGCCCAGGGCTGGGGCAGTGCTCTGGGAGAGGTGCAGGGCGATCCTGATCACAGAATGTGGCAAACTCAGCACTTTTTTCCTTTTCTTACCCAGATGGCCACCCAGACCCTCCCTCTAAATCCAGCCAAACGCGTCCCCAGGTCCAGGTCCCCACAGGCCAGTTTGGATTGGCTACTGTAACGCCCAACGAGCCAGCCCAATGAATGAAGCAGACCAGTAAGAGGTCTTCACAGGAAGGCCTCCTGACTCCGGCCCCGCTCCAACACCCAGGGAGGGCCAGGATCCAGGCCACGTCCCCTCCAATCCCCCTCCTCCTGGCTGCCTGCTGCCCCTCTGGGAGGAAGTGGGACACGTGGGGAAAGCTGGGGGGGGGGACTAGGAGCTGCCTGGCCCTGGATGGAAACTAGAGGGTGGTTTGCTCTGTTATATAATGCCTTCCACCTCAGGTGAACAAATGGGACCCCAACTTGCTCCGGGTCTCCCCGAGGCAGGGCTCAGCTGCATGAGCCCCGAGATAAGCCCAGATCCAACCCCCAGGGAGGAAGCAGGGTCACTGGAGGACTTGTACCAGGACACAGAAAGGAGGCTTGTATCAGGCGTTAAAAACAATCTCTGCCCTCTTCTCTCCCAAGGGAGCCTCGCTGCTGAAGGGAAGTGCTCCCGTGGCCTCCACTGTTGCCCAGATGAAGGCGGTACTGAGCCTCCTGCTGCCCTGCCTCCTGGCCCAGGTGTGGCTGGTGCCCAGCTCCACCCCTGGTCCCCGCCTACTGGAGGCCCAGACAGGGCAGGAGACCCTGCCGACCCCCAGGGCCCAGAGGGAGAGCAGCGAGGGAGCGTGGGCTCCAGGGGAGGAGGAGGAGCACTCCCAGCTGACGGCTGGGGGTCAGAAGCTCTCCAAGGAGACCTCCAACCTGGGGTTCAGCCTGCTGCGCAAGATCGCCACCAGGCACGATGGCAACGTGGTCTTCTCCCCGCTCGGCCTGTCCCAGGCCATGGTGGCCTTGACCCTGGGGGCTGGGGACCAGAGCAGAGCCCAGCTGGAGAGCGGGCTCAGCCTGGGGGCCCCAAACCAGACCCAGGCCGCACACCTGCCCGCCCTCTTTAAGAAGCTTCGAGAGAGCCTCTCCCGCAACCCGGAGCTGGGCCTGGCCCAGGGGAGTTTTGCCTTCATCCATGAGGACTTTGACATCAAAGAGACCTTCCTCAATATCTCCAAGAGGTATTTCGATATAGAGTGTGTGACTCTGAATTTTCGCAATGTCTCCCAGGCCAAAGGGCTCCTGAATCATTACATTAACAAAGAGACTCGGGGGAAAATTCCCAAACTCTTTGATGACATTAATCCCGACACCAAATTAATTCTTGTGGATTACATCTTGCTCAAAGGTACTTTGATAACGTCCTGCTCTCCCAGACAGGTCTCTCCGTCTGCCTACCTTTCCTGTTGGGTCTGTGTCTGGCTGATGCCAAATGATTTCCTAGGAACATGTTCTCAAGTTTCACAAGCAGATTGAGACATGCACGGACTGTGTAGAATGTAGTAAGAGGCTCAGTGACAGATGACGTTCGGATTTGATGCCCCTGCCCTAGGGCCCCACATGCCTGCAGGGTTCACGGTTTCCCAAGCACCTCCACACAGCTCTCCTCTGACATCCTGACACAGGGAACCTTCTGGGTCACTAAAAAAAAAAGGCATATCATTGGAGAGATTTAAGATCTTTGCTCTTTCACTCTCTACTTTTGTGACCTGGGGCAAATGACAAACTCCCTTGTCCTTGATTCTCCATACGGGAAACTAAGGACAGTCCCATACTGTATAGATGGGAATGAGGCTCAGAGAGGATAGCTGGTTCAAGGTCACGTGACAAACGGCAGACTCCAGACTCAGAGGGGCTGGACACGCTCCTCCTGGGTCCTTTCGTTCCTGCCTTTCCCAAGGAGCACTGGACTTGGCGGCCACCACTGTAACAGGAAGGTGACACCAAGGGACTTGCAGAGTCCGAGAGGAGTCCGTGCTTCCAGTTGACTGGGCCAGACAGACGTCCTGTAGAGGCATGTGCCGCAGGCTGGTGGCCACCTCTGCACGGTGTGGCTACTTGTCAGCAGGGCCCCCTCCCTTCAGGGCCACTTTACCCAGAGGATGGGTGGGACTGTCATCGTTTCTGCCACGGTGGACTCTGCACGTGGTGCGTACTAGACAGAGTGGCGGTCGGAGGGCCCCACACGGGGACAGGGCCAGAGAAAGACCCGAAGTCTTCTCTAGGCGGGAGCGAACCAACAACAAGGGAGCTAGTGTAGCAGGAAGTGGGTCCTCACCACATCAACTCGAATGAGTGACTTCGGCTCCGAGGTTTGTTCAGTGAAGGAATGGAGGTCATTAGGGGCATCTTGCTTTTGTGTGTGACTCCCACAGGGCCGGCGGGCAGAGCCGGGTTCTGACAGCTGGGAAAGCAGCCTGGGAGTGGCTGATCTTCTGGGAATCTCTTTTGGTTGCCTGAGCTGTGGTCAAAACAAACCCGATAAGGATGCCTTTCCCAGCCGGGCAGAGAACCCTGGCCCTTTCTTCCTTTAACAAGGATGACGCTTTCAGGGAGGGTGGTTTCTGCCATGAATTCTGTTCTTACCTGTTCAGGGAAATGGCTGACCCCTTTTGACCCTGCTCTCACCGAGATGGAAACTTTCTACCTGGACAAGTACAAGGTCATCAAGGTGCCCATGATGTACAGGGCTGGCAAGTTTGCCTCCACTTTTGATAAAGATTTTCGCTGCCACATCCTCAAACTGCCCTACCGAGGAAATGCCACCATGCTGGTGGTCCTCATGGAGAGGATGGGTGACCACCTCGCCCTTGAAGACTACCTGACCACGGACCTGGTGGACATGTGGCTCAGAAACATGAAAACCAGGTACCACCCTCCCCTCCCTCTGTACCTGCCTTCTCCCCCCCCCACCAGTGAGTGCTCACTACTTCATTCTGTGCCCGTCCCAGCCAGAGAGCTGCGGGCTCCCCGACAGCAGGGGCTGCGTCTGGCCTGTTTTCCGCTCTACCAGCATCTGCCATAGCGCCTGGCGTGCTCTCCCAGCCCTTACCAGTGTTCTCCTAGGTGCCAGGCACTGTAATGCATGCGCGATGCCAACCCTAAGGCCTCGCCAAGAAGGTGGCCGTAAGCAAACACCTGAAGATGAAGGAGGGCTGTGTGGACATCCCGGGCAGGGGAGAGTTCCAGGCAGAAACATGGCAGTTCTGGAAGGGGCACGTGCTTGGTAGGTTCGAGGAACAGCGAGGCAGCCAGTGAAGCTGTGGTGGTTGGAGTTGAGGTCACAGAGGAACCAGGGGCCCGGTCATCCAGGATTGTATGGTACTGGCTCCGAAAAATACTTGGGCTTGGTGGGAGGGTATAGCTCAGTGGTAGCGTGTATGCTGAGCATGCAGGAGGCTCTGGGTTCAATCCCTGGCACCTCCATTAAAATAAATAAGCAAATAAGTAAATATCCTAATTACCTCCCCCACTAAAATTTAAAACATACATGAAATAAATTAAAATAAAAGACTTAGGCTGTTCCCGAGGGAGATGGGAAGCCAAGCAGAGGGGTAACATAGTCTGTGCTGAGACGACACGAGGGGATGAGGAGGGGCAAGGGGACCAGTCAGGATGCTGCTGCTCGGCTGGTGGTGGCAGGGAGGAACAGCAGTGGGACCCTGATCTGTTAGGAAGCTGGAGGTGACAGGATTGGCTCATGGACTGGATGTGGGTGACAGAGAGAGAAAGAGGAGAGTCAAAGTTGAAGGCAGTTTTTGGCCTCAGCAACTGGAAAGAAGGCCCTGCTGTTTCTTGAAATGGGGGAGACCGTGGGGGGAACGGGCCTGGGGGTCAGTTTGAAAGTCTGGATCAGAAATACCTATTAGACAACTGGGTGGAGACGTCAGGAAGGCAGCTGGGTCTGGCGTGCAGGGTGAGGTGCAGGCTGAGGAGACAGCAGCACATAAGTGGAACCATGAAATGGGACGAGATGACCTGGGGAGGGGCCATGCACAGACAGCAGGGCTGGAAGCGCAGAGCAGGTGCTCAAATGTTTGTTGAATAAATTAATCCACCTATTGGGGTACAAGGAAGTCAGTGGCAGGAAGGGTTCCATGGCGATGCCTCCTGAATCCTGTCACTCCAGGATTTGGCACAGAGACGAGTCCAGCTGAAGGTCCCCAGTGTTCATTTTATCTTCATTCTTCTTTTTCTTCAAATCCTTAGTGCCTAGCAAAGGACTCAAACATAAGCCCTCAACAAATGTTTGGGTGAATAAATTTATAAGTCGACGTTCAAGACATTCCATGTCCTCAGCTATATTCCAGTCCCACAGCCCAGCCCAACTCTGCAAGAGAAAGGAGGAGAGAAAAGGGAGCCAAAGGAAATTAATATTCATTAAGCCCCTGCTCTATGCCAGACGCTGCTCTGGGAACTTACCGTGTATTCCTCCACTTAAATCTCTGAAGGACCCGGTGAGACTGACATTGGCATTTTGGCTACACCTCACGTATAAAGACACCTGGGACTTCTTTAAGACTAGGACTAATCAGTAGTTCTCATCCTTTTTACTTTTAAGCCACAGAACTCATCTTTCTAAACGAAGATGAGAACTCCAATGTATAATATCAGAGTGAATATTAGAATTTCTCTGGCTATAGATAGGTAGGGGGTTGAAAATTTCCTTCGCTCCCCTCCCCCTGTCCATCCCCAGACTTCCACAGTTCTCCCGGAGTCCTGGGGGTCTGAAGAAACTGGGGGTTGAAAACAGCCATCGTCCAAGAGTCTGAAGGATTGATGGCAGCGGCTGATTGGCTGGTTTGGGTTGTTTTTAAGACACAGGGAAATGGACACAAAGTATGGCATAAAGAGAATGTGAGTCAGCCGCTGGGATATAAAACTGGTTCACTGAAGCTGCAGGGACACACGTGTGATCAGTCAGAGCTGTCTTCTCTGAGCTAGACCGTCACAAAAGAATGGAACGAGCTATAGGCAGGCGAGGGAGACCTGTCAGTGGGCATCATCTTGGAGGGAGTAAAAAGAAAGTGTGACCGTCTTAGTGTTCCAAATCTCTGGCTTTTTGTCTACATTTCACTGTTATGTGTACTTGTACCACAGAAGAATGGAAGTTTTCCTTCCCAAGTTCAAGTTAGATCAGAAGTATGAGATGCATGAACTGCTGAAGCAGATGGGAATCAGCAGAGTCTTCTCACCCTGGGCTGATCTGAGCGGACTCTCGGTTACTGCGAGAAATCTTAAAGTATCCAAGGTAAGTGGGGATCTCTCATTAGGGCCCCAAACCAACAAATGTTTTTACAAACCATTTAACGTTGATAAAAAGGCCAGGTTGTAGCAGAAAGTCAGATTTAAATTCCAAAAGACTTAAAATAGCACCCAAATTGGATGTCTTAAGAATTTTGCACCACTTTATTAAAACATCTGTTTAATTCATTAAATTTCTCTTATGTAAAGCTCTCTCTTCTCTCCCAATGCTCAAGAGAAAATTTACCCCTAAATGGAATTAGTTCACAAATTTAAAAATTCCACGAAATTGCACCACTTTCAAGACGAAAGAAACCCCCAAAGGGCATCGGGCTAACTTCCCACCCCTTGCAGAAATCTGCTCTATGATGTCCCTACAAAGTCGCCCTCCGTTTTCTTTTTTTTTTTTAACGTTTCCAGTGACAGGGAAATCACCACTTATTTGAAAAGTAGCTCAATCCACAAATGGCTAAAATCGTTTGAGTTTTTTCATATACATACATATTTTTGACTTATAACTCCTCCGACTCATCTTCTTTGTCCCTAGTTCTGCCTCTAAAACTGTAAACACATGAATTTCGGCTGCAAACACATAAAAATTGAAGAAGTGTGTTGTGGGGTTACAGGTTACACTGTAAATTATTAAATGTGCTCCCTCCGTTTACTCTGGGAAGTAAGTTTTCACTCCAGGAACTCAGAGAATGTCCAAGTGTTATTACACTGTTTTCATTACCTCCTCTTATAATAATTACACAGGCCCATCACTCACCTCACATGAGGTTCCTGGACAAAAGGGCCTCCTGGAGATGACAGGCAGGGTAAATACAGGCAACCAGAGTGCAGGAAGACTTCAGGGACCCTGGGGCTTGTCCCCGGGACCACCTCAGAGCAGCACCAGGTGCTGGGAAGCTGCTTACAGAGGACTAACCACACACCCTTGCCCCGACCTTGCCTGCCAGAAGGAAGGTCAAAGTTCTCAGGAGTTCCAGGCAGCTTGAAAATCTTCTAGGAGGAACACCAGCTCAGCTCAAGAATCAGCAGCACAAAGCACATGCTCAATAAATATTTGCTGATTTGATGCATTTGTGCACAGATTGGCCAGCCAGAGTCTCTGGGCCCCTGCCCAGACTGTATTTCCCATGTGGATTCTTCGTGTCTCCTGGTATTTTGGGGGTTTCTACGGCAGTTGCCAGATGCAACCTCAGACCGTTCCTCTGAGCACAGATGACCCTGGTATCACTAAATCCCAAGGGCACGGCCCTGTGGGTAGGACCGTTAACAAAAAATGTCCAGGCGCCCAATTAATTCCCTCACCTCCACTGGCACACACAGGGTCTTCCACGTTATTGCCTTTTCTAGGTTTTACAAAGAGCGACGATTGAGGTGGACGAAGAAGGGACGGAGGCAGTGGCGGGGACCCTGGCAGAAATCACTGCCTATTCCATGCCTCCCATCATCAAGGTGGACCGGCCATTTCACTTCATGATCTATGAAGAAACCTCCAGAATGCTGTTATTTCTGGGCAGGGTGGTGAATCCAGCTCTGCTGTGACTTATGATGTGAGTGAAGACTCAGAGCTATAGCCACTGCAGAACCTGAGGTGTGTGAAGCTACATGGGATTTTGGCACTGGGGGCCCCCCTTCTCCCCCAATGCTAGTGTGAGCCGTTCTTAGATAAATCTGAGCATTACACTCAAAATTATTTTACGGAGATGTGTGTACAGTCTGTCTGGTATTTTAAGCCTGTTTCTAAGAGCCTTTGTTACTGACTAAAGACTGTCCTGCTAGAGTATCTTTACTTTTCTCTGTTACTCATGTGTCTGGACTTAAAGACACATTGGATGAGAGCTCTATTTCAAGACGAAGCCTTTGGGAGGAAGACAAGTACACATTCTCCATGAGCCATGTGCTTCACTCTGCTTCCCCCAGTGCAAAATTAGTGCTTTATTTTCACCTATTATAGAATCATTCCTTGCTAAAATTAGAGGAGAATAGCGGTGGCCAGTCCTGATCACAGTATCTGCCATGAGGTGGCCTCGTTTACTCCACGGAGCCATTACCTGAGTCACAGATCATCCAGTTCACTATCTTCGTTTTACAAAGGAAGGAAATCAAAACCAGAGACAGAGCCACAGTATAGCCTTCGTGGGCTCCTTCCTCTGTTAAAACATATGTGCGCGTCTGTGTGTATGTATAATGAAAATTATATTTTGACTGTATTGGTATATAAAGATGAACATGCTCTGGATTATGTCTGTCTTCTTCCCAATTCAGTCAAAATGTGGAACGAACTTACTTGAAGTAAAATATCTTCTTGAGCCCCTAAAAGTAGCACCGTGCCTACAGCATCTAACGGATAAATCAAACAGGGCATCTCAGGGGAAGGAAAGGGTCACCTCGTGTGGCGGTGGCAGAGCCAGAGGCCTGCCTCTCCCAGCTCCAGGCCCCAAGCCCATTTCACCCTCCCTTCCTTCCGTCCAGAACATCTGATGGGGTCCAGTTCAACCGGCAGCCGGTACTCCACTCTCACTTACCCTCTGTGGTTGAATAATATCAGCGTGGACTTTGTCCCAAGGCTAAAAGAAAAACCGAAACTTTCTTAGTCATTTTCTGTTACAGAGAAAAGAAAATGGTTCAGGAGTAAATTCAGAGAACTGTGAATCTTGGAATATCAACTAGGTTGAGTAAATGCCTAACTGGATTTCTGTCTGTTTGCTACCCAATATTCAAATATACCTAAAATTAATTTTTGATTAGTTATCTTATTAAAATCAATCAGAATCATGTAACTAGCACTTAATGTGAATAGGTAATAATATTAAGTAACAGTCTAAAGACTGCTAAAGACTGACTTTTCATCATTCTAATTCTAAACCTGGACGTTAATTCATTCCTGTATTCCTTCCAAGTGTGCGAGCCGACTGACACTTGGTAAGGGCCAGGCAACTCCAGGGCCTAGAAAGAGAAACAAAAGTAGAGGCCTAACTTCAGTTGACATCCTTAAGTGACTTGTTAGTGTTTAATCAATCAGGTTCATTCGTGGGAAAATAGTAGAAAGAGAAATAAAAGAGGGTTCACATTACCCATTTTTAAGAGATGAAATCTAGAAAAGAAAGCCCATGAGAACATAATATCCTCTGAAATAAACATGGCCAAACCCAGTTATAAAAAGGTCCACTATTATCGAAGGATTCATAGATCATACAGATCAAACACTATATGCACAAAACAAAAAGGGCGTAACAGTGACAGTGAACACATGACTCTTTAAGGCAGAAATGACCCTATTCTCAATTAAAAAATTAACATTTCCCCACATATACTTGAAGAAGCTCCAAGGACACTAGGTTTTAGATTTTCCAAGTACATATTATGGTGAAAAAGTGCAGACCAATGAAAAATGTAATTCCTCTTACCAAAAACATTCAAGGTTTCAACCCTGGGCAGGGAAAAACTCTGAAGACTGTTAACAATGCTTCAACTATATTTAAATATCAGGTTTAAAAACTGTTCCTACACAGACAGACAGACACACACCCTCTCACACACATGCTATAACTGAGAGCAGGTTACTGGATTAATCTAATTCATTTTCTCTTCACTGTTAAAACCCCTACTCAAGCTCATTTCAATTCAAATATTTCACATGTGCCCAGGAACTGCAGTCTGGACCCTGTCTTCCACAGTAAGGTGTCTAAGCTAAAGAAATCAAATAATGGAAATGATTTTTAAATGTGTATGAATGAGGTTATGGAAGAAAAGCTCTAGAAGCTTTTATTAAGGAAAGTCCTTTTTTAGCCTTCTCCATTTCTGCCTGTTCTACAGGCCTGATTTTTTTTTTAATGCTTATAATGGTAACTAGTGAAATTCTAGAACCTCTCCGTCCCTATTTCCCCACAGCTACAGATGGAGGGAGATGTTTCTTTGTCGAACAGTTGGTTTAAAGGAACTATTTGATAGGTTGTCAAACTGAGAACTTTTACAAGAGTATCAATCTTGCTTCCGGTGTAAACAGGTATGTGCAGATATTCATAATTGTCACCTCTGTGCTCTAAGCCGGAAATTGACACATTGTAAACTAACTATAACGCAATTTAAAAATTTTTTTACAATAATAATAACTGTCACCAATTTGTTTTTCACTGTTTTTATACGTCTGTCCTTGGAAGTATAATTTTAACAAATATTTCAACAATTTTAGAAATTATCATGTTCTGTAGGAAAAAAATAAAACTTCCGAACATAACTTTGACTGTCTTAACTGATGATTTAGTGCCTAGGAATAAGACTGCAGCTGACTTCTGCAGCTTCCTGAACTTTATAAGCAGTAGTGACTTTTCTCCATCAAATCGCTTTCCTCTTCTCCCACATGCATGACAAGAAATAAGAGTCCCTAAGTCTGCTTAATTTATACTATTAAACAAATAAACTGAAATTCTCTATTTTATTTAAAGTAACACGGTCAACGCTGACTAAGGATCAAAGTGCTGGAAAACCTGATGCCGCTCTGAGGTCCATCATGCACACAAATAGTCTCTCCTAGATCGTAATGTATTCAGTTTCGCGCTGGTGATGCTGGTAGGAGACAGCATTACACCAGTTCAGTGAAATCCACAGAGAATGTATGAACTAGCCAGTACTGTCAAGCTTCTCATACCTACCAATCTTGAACTACTGACAAAATAAATGGTTGAGCAATTCCATTTACCTGACTGTCCTTACGTGAAAGATATTAAGAATCACTAAAAATAGCCATATGTAAGGAAAGCATGAAACAGCATGAAAGTCTCACACTGAGTAGCTGTCCCGTTACAGGGTAATTTATAGCTGACTTCTGTGTGCTTTTCTTGTTCATTATTTTAAAAATGAACTGCCTTTGATTATAAAATAAAAACTGCAGGAAAGTATTTAAAACTTTTTTCACAAACACAGGTGTCTCATTAACCTATGTTTTATTTTCAGTAAATTCATTATTCATTATTTCACATTATAAAAAGTAACCACACACGCATATGCATTCACAAATCAGATCATCTTTATCATACATCAATATATTTAAAAAAAACAAATATTTTCTAATATCAATATAGTTCTATGCTGATTGCATTGTGAAATAGAGAAGCTGACAATAGCTTCATACAGTCTATCTCAAGAACTGACATTTTAAAATTAAGAACTGTATATATGCGCCACAGGCAAATTTTGATGGAAATATTAGCATTAGTACAAATAAATGCTGTTGACATAGCTTAAGCATGATAGCTTGGAATAACAGCTGATTCAAACTAGGCTCATTAATTCAGTAAGGACAAACAATCTAAAATGTAAACAAAGTATTTATAAAATAAATTCTTCTAGGAAATAAAAGAAATCATCAATCTATTATTTTTAAGGTAGTTGTAGCTGAAAGTTATCAGAAATCTCTGCAGAATTTTCATTGCCAAATTTTAATTTCAGAATGTCCAGGTACAACATCTTGTCACCACAATCGCAGGACTGATACAATCTCAGACAGCTGTCTGTACCCTGTTTCAGTGTGACTTTTTTCAGTTGGGCTTGGAGATGCGTGAGAAAATGCAGTGTCTTTCTTACTCCCAAGTCCCCCTCCGAGTGATTACGTAGGCAGGGCAATTTCAGCTGATTTGGACCTTTCGTGTAATTTTTAAATGCTAAACTCTAGAACAATTAAATAGATGGTTTCCTGCACAAATAAATGCAGGTGTCTCTTTTGCAGCAGTAGTTAAAGCACATTCCTACAGTTGTTTTTCATTACACTTCACTATAACATTGGAATTCTATGACCACATTATTATTCAAGAAATATGTATTATACCTCCTAGGGAATCTAATTTCAAATATGGAACTTTTTAACAACATCAGCTGCCATTATGTATCTCTTTTCCATTCGTTAAAAAAAAAAAGCCCCAGCCATTGCTTTAGCTTTTGTCCATCAGTCACATTGTCTCCAGCTGTCTTTGTTTTGCCTCCATCAAGCAGATGATCTAAGGATTGGATTTTCTGGATTTTCTTTGTCAAGAAGAAAGAAGGAAAAAGAGAGAAGAAAGGAGAGGGAGAGAGAAGGAGAGAAAAAAGTAGGGAGGAAAACAAGAAAACAAAACATGAAAAAGTTTATCCACGTAATGCTTTACAAAGTAAAGAAATAGACAATCTACTTTGAATAAACCTAATATATGAGAATTGTGATTAAGTAGAAAAGTAAATTACACATTAAAGATTACTGGGAATAACCTTTAATTACCAAATCCTATGTGCACCTAACATAGCATTCAGTTCAATTCATACTTTTCCTACATTTTTCATTTTGTATAACCATAAAATAAATTAACACAGTCTAAAATATATCAATCATCTGGCCTTGAAAGACATAAAGATATGATGCATTCCTGTACTTCCTATAAGACTGTGATATTCCTAAATACCAGATGCGTCACCTCCATGACACTGAAAACTTGGAGAATGTATTGCACAGAATTCTTTTGAGCAGCAAAAACTGAGATAATACTTTCTGAAATCACTTCATAGGCTTATTTTAAGCCAAAAGGACAGGTTTTCATTTGGACATGGCGTGGTGCTGAACTGTGGGTATGAACTGCAAAGGAACGTGGCCAGCGTAGGCGTGGGTCACCTGCCCCAGTTGTGCGGCAGTGTGCAGAAAGTCCAAATTAGAATCACATAACA